GCCACGCCCCCCTGCGCCGCTTCCGGGCGCGCCACAAAAGTCCCGTGAGGGAGGCTGGGAAGGTGGTGCGTTGTATGGGGTGTGCGGGTACCGTTGCGGCTAGAGGTGCGTGCGGTGGCGGGGATGGCGGGGCAGGGGCGGGCACCGACCGCGGGCGAGCGAGGAGGAGGAAGAAGAAAAGGCGGGGCGGGGAGAAAGGGAGGAAAAAGGTCGCGGCGGTGTCGCTCGGCGCATGCGCGCTCCTCCCCCCCGGCAGCCGCGCGTCCGCGCGCGCCCGCTCAGCCGCGGTTGCGGTTGGTGCTGGGGCGCGGTGCATGCTGGGGGCTGTAGTCGCGGTGGCGGCGCGGGGAGGGGGCGGCGGCTGCCATCTTGGCGCAGCGTGGGCGTTTGCGGGGCTGGGGCTCCTTTAACGGGACTAACGGCGCGCGGTTGCGGTGCCATTTCCTCAGCAGCTAGCGCACGTGCTGCCAGCCTCGTGCGCCAGCAGCTGCTGCTGAAATGGAGGTAGACTCCCTGCTTAAATGAAGTGCAAGCCCTGTGGTCCTGCTTTGATGCCCCTTAGCGCTGTGTGTTTTGTTATAGCCAGTAACTGTGTAGCCACTAGACACAGAACGTGCACGGCTTCTGGCCAGGTAGATGTGAGGAGTGAAAAACACCGAAAGGATAAAGAGAGCCCTGCTGCAGCCCGCGGCACGTTTGTGCCATGCGTGGATGCCCTTGTGCCAAATCATTCCATCGTGCCGAGGGCTGGCACGGCTGAGCTCGCGCAGGCGGGAAAGGCAGCGACAACATATGGCTGAGCCCGCATGCCAGCCGCGCTCGGGTGGCTGTGGCGCCGGCCTTGGCAGCAGCCCCGAGCGAAGCTTCGCTGCGGGCCCCTCGTGCACACGATATGCTAACAGCGCTGCCCAGTGCTCTTTCACCAGTGCAAGTGCTGGTTAACACCCTGCTCCACAAAAACCGCACAATAATTGTCTCACGGCAGGCTAACCTTGGCTTCCCTGCTCTCAGCTATCACATTAGCAACCTGCTCAATGGATTCGGCTCATGCTGTCACATTAAAAACTTTCGAGAGGTTGCTGTGCCGCTCAAGATCCCCATAAACAGGATTATGTTCAGGCCCTGCCCCTTTCCTGTGCTGCAATACCCTCCTTCCTGGCGTAAACGAATGCAGCAATAAAAAGCTTGTGTGTGTGCCAGTTCTCTGGTCTGTGAAAGAAACATGGTTGTTTGTGAAAGCCAGGCCCAACTTGTGCAAAACTAGATCTTCTGTGGAGCAAAGGTCTCATCTTCCTTAGAACTGTGAAGTTCAGGGTGTGCACTGGATGTTGATAACAAGGTAATGTCTATCCCCACTGCTTAAGTAGAATGTGATATTCTATAAATAATAACACTAGCAGAAAATGCACATGGGCAGACCTAAAAGCTCGGGCAGACATAATACCTCTTCCAAACCCCTACCTTAATAGAGGCAGGTTAAAGTTGTTGGCTCAAAAATAAGGAGCCTGACTTAGGCACTTGGCCTTCAAATGGCCAATGATAACAAAATGCATAACAAAATGTGGGATCCGGAGCGCCTGGATACTGTCGTTTCCCATAATCATATGGCACTTAGCAAGCATGGCAAACACTCATTATTCTTGCTAGCTGGCTGCGCACGGTGATGCTGTCTCATTTTAGGACATTGCAGGGATAAGGGGCAATTTGCTTAATGCTGTGGCTGACCAGCATTCATTAAGAAATTATGAGCTGTCGGCCTCCAAGCCTGAACTCGCTCTTGCTGAAGTCAATTAGAGCAAGATCAAACTGCCGTTACAGCCGTGTGCTCATTGCTGCTGGGGCAGATAGAAAGAAAAAAGAAACTGCTGAACGCCCGTATGAATATTCCTGCCTGTTGCTTGTTATTAGCTGGTAATTATTATTCTGAAGCTGTTATTTCAGGGCCCAAGCTTTGCCTAAGCCAATGAAACACTTCACTAGGGATTTCTTAGCTTGTTGTTGCAATCAGAGAAGTGAGTCCAATTACTACCTTAACCACAGAATCTGGTTTGGGATTTCAGGATCTAATTGCCAGGTGAATTAAGGAATTAACAACAAATATCCGTGGCAGTTTCTATCTCGGGAGTTGCTTTTCCCCTCTTAACCTATTTCCGTGCATGTTCTTTCTTTCTTTCTCCTTTCCCCCATCGGAGTGACCAGGCGCACGTAGGCTCTGCTGCCCCCGGGCTGGGTACATAGTGTGTATTTCTCACCGTGGCTCTTACGGACAGGCCTTGGCAAGGGCTGCCCCGCTTCCAGAGGGACCTCGGCGCACAGGAGAGCTCCACGGCATCAGTGAATGCGCAGGGTTAGCGGGATGCTCCCCTCGGACCAGCAGGGAATCCAGGGAAGGCTCACGAGGTGCTGCTGCTGCGGCAGGCGCTTCGGCCAAGCGATACCGTGAGCGCTGCGCAGGGCAGCCATGGTGCGGAGTGGGAAAAACGGCGGGCTGCACCTGAGGCAGATCGCGCACTACCGGCGCACCGGGGAGTACCACCCCTCCACGCTCGCCAGCGAAAGAAGCGGCATCAGAAGAGCGGCCAAAAAATTTGTTTTCAAAGGTAAAAATCCTCCCCCGCTCTGCTTTGGAAGATGGCTTTCTAGGTGAAGATTTGCTGATACTAAAGAAAGCAGAAAGACGCCTTTCTCAGCAGCACGCTCCCGCATGTTCATACACGTGCTCTGTCAAACAAGCAGCCCTGCCTCTCCCCTGCTCATAGGTAACGGTGGCCACTGACACAGAAGCCATTAGCAGACGGTCTCGTGTGGGAGCCAGGCCCCTTCTCAGCCACGGGGCACCACGCTGCAACGGGGACCCGCCATCCAAGCACCCCCGAAAGGGAAGCGCAGAGGGGCAGCCCGGCGAGGCCGGGGTGGCTCTGCCGTCCGTGGTGCTCCCGCCACCTCCAAAGCTCCCCAGGCCTCCCGGTTTTGCTGTGGGGCTGTGAGGAGTGAGGGTCATTGCAGGCAGCTCTCCCTTTGCAGGGCCAGCAAAGGGCCCCGCGTGTGGGCAGGAACTGAAGCCATGGAGCCTCACACGGTGGAGCGGCTCCCAGGCTTTCCATCTCCCAGCACTCAGTGCTCCCTCTCCCGCCACTGCCCTCAGCGTTAGCTGGGGGTTCACTGAGATTCCCCAGGGACAGAGTCTGACTGCCCCGGGTGACAGATCCAGTGCCTCACATCCATGTTGATAAAACAAGTTTACACTTGTTACTTGTTATATATGATAAACAAGTTTACATTTAACAAGTTTACACTTAAGTTTACACTTTAAGTGTAAACTTGTTTATCATATCTACATGTAAAACAAGTGGTCCTGGGGAAGAAGTAACTGTGAACAAAGAAGCTATTTTTGCACAAAATAAAAGACAAAGTAGAATTGAAAATCCGTACTGAATCGCACCCAGTGTTTTAGTAAGCCAAGTGACAAAGCAACAAAAGATGAAGTGCTGCTGTATAATTTATTGGTATTTGCTTTCTCCTTTCAGAAAACAAATTGTTCTATGTTGGAAAAGACAGAAAACAAATGCGCTTGGTGATTGTTTCGGAGGAGGAGAAGAAAAGGGTGCTAGAGAAATGCCATGAAAATGCAGCAGGCACTCACCACGGCATATCAAGGACACTGACTTTAGTGGAGTCTAATTACTACTGGACCTCCGTAACAAATGATGTCAAACAGTGGGTATGGGCTTATAGCTCTAGAGTATATTTTTAATGTATTCTTTGCTACAGACAGTTTGTGATTCCTCCACAAGCCTCATCTCTGTTTTGGGCTACACAAGAATGCAGAATTCATGCTTTACCCAGTGTTCACTTACATACGTTCCAGAGGGGACTTGGGCACACACATCTCCTTGGGAAAGAGCACAGCTTAAGCACATAAGTATTTGCACATGTTGAACAGTCTGGTGACTGTCTGTACATTTGCACTCTTAGCGAGCCATAGAGGGGTTCTGAAAACCACACTCCACACTGGAGTTTGCCAAGTTCACAAGGAACAAGTTGGCCAGAAAAGTTTTTGAAATGTTTTCCTTAACCGATGAGCAGAACTAAGTGAACAGTGTTAGAAACTAACTCACAGCTATGTACACAGAATACACTGAAAAACTCAAGGGTAAGAAAGCAATCATGAGAAAAAGATGGTAAAATGAATTTGTTTGGTGTATCCAGAGGATACAGAGGAACAATGGGAATTTACAGTAATATCCTACTGCTTGTTTTAAGCCACCACCACCACTCTTTACTGAGGTCTTAATCCCTGCTTTCTGCACTAGGTGTATGCTTGCCAGCATTGCCAGGGGGCAAAGACTTCAACGAGCACAGCACCCACACTGCACCCTATCAAAGCAGAGGACCCCTGGGCGGCAGTTGCTGTAGACCTCATGGGACCTTTCAGCGCAACCAGCAGAAGCCACATGAACATCCTTATTCTGACAGATCTGTTCACCAAGTGGACAGTTCTCCTGCCGCTGTGCCATACTTCGGCAGCTGAAATTGCTAAGGCAATTGTAAGTGTGTTTTTCTTATACGGACCTCCTCAGAAAATGCCCATGGATCAAGGGAAGGAGCTTGTCCATCAGGTAGGTCTTGGCTTAGATGATTTGTAACTGTAACATTGTGCAGCACATCTCTGGAATGAAGAGCAAAAGCAAAATAGCTTCTCAAGGGTCATAGTCCAGGTTTTGTTAGTCAATAGAGCTGGCACAGTCTTTCACCCTCCAACAGTTGTACTTCATCTACTCATATTATGTTGACGCACGTATTAGACCAATGTCAAAAATACCCTAACATGCAGCAGTTAAGAACTTTACACTTAATCCTCTCTAAGTTGATGAAATAGCAATAGGAAATGCTGTGAAAAGGAGGAATTGACAAATTGAGTGGTGAAACTGTTTATAGAAACCATCATGGTGGCTCCTAAGCCATACTTGAACTGCCACTCTTGAATGTGGCCTGTTCTGTGGGCACGTTATATAAGGCTTTTGCTCAACTGCCATGAGGAGTGGAAGGTTGTATTGAATTTGTTTACTGGAGCTGCGATACTGAACAAGGGAGCATTCGATAATTACGCTCTTCTTTTATTTTTAAAGATAAACCAAGAACTGTTTGCGCTCTTCGGAATGAAACAGATAGTACTGGGTTACCCTCAGCCAGATGCCCTAAATGAAAGAACAAGCAGGATGATCAAAGCTTTCCTTAACAGCTACTGCACGCAGCATCCAGATGATTGGGATGAGCATTTACCTGCTATTGCCTATGCTTTCAATTTGATTAATATGGTAAGTGAAGGCTCCTCCCCTCCTGCGAGTTGGGACTGATGTCCCCAGGGGTACCTGCAAAGCTGTTTGCTAAACATGCTTGCCTTTTGCTCCCCACTGACACAGGAGCCAGATGAAAGCACCCCATATTTCCAAATGTTTCACCGTAACCCACACGTGGCTGAGTCAACAAATGTGTGTGGGGAAAGAGAAGACAGCATCTTTGCCAGAATATTTGAAGCAACGAAGAAGGCCAGGCAAGCTCTGGAGGAAGAGAAAACCACCGGCTGTCAGGTAAATTCTGCATATTCAGATGTTCTTGGCAAGAACACTGAAGAGACATAAGGTGGAAAGATTTGGAATGTAAAGTGAATTCAAGCTTTTAGAACAGTGAGCTGATTTTTGTTTTCCCACCGTGGGGTCCGTGGATCCCAGTGTACATGTGCTCGTTGGACGTATGGAGAAGAGGGAAGCAAGAAAATGGGAGGTTTGCTACTTTGTCAGGATGTTTGTGTTGGGCCTCAGGGAGGTGTAAAGCCCTTGCTTGTGGAGTGTTGATATAGATCAGGAACATGGATAAAATCAGTTTCTAGAGAGCTTTGCCTTTTTATATGCTACAAATTACACATATCCAAATACTTCTAGCCTTAGGTTTCTGCATTCAGTCTTAAAAAAAATAGACGGTGGCTCTTAGGGAAAGAAAATATTTTGTTTGTTTCTTTTCACAGGTAGCTAAAGTCACATCAGATGAACAGAGAACCCAAAACAAGCTTACTGGCCAAAGAAAGCCAAAACAGATAAATCCCCTTCGCCTTCAGGTTGGGCACGAAGTGCTGAGGCAAAGGAAGAACTGGTGGAAGGATGGCCGCTTCCAGTCAGAATGGGTCGGGCCTTGTATCATCGACTACATCACCGACAGCGGCTGCGCCGTGTTAAGAGATGCCACGGGATCCAGGCTGAAAAGACCCATCAAAATGTCTCACCTTAAGCCATACATAAGAGCGTCCAGCGAAAAAGGTATGCGCATGTATATATATATATATATATATATATATACACACACACACACACACACATATATATATGTATATATATATATACATAAAATTTAACTTTTCTGTCATGTTATGCTCTTAGGTGAGGTAACGAACCACAGGCTAATAATGTAATTGCATAAGGTGAACAGCGAGCGTGGCTGCTTTGAAACCTCTGCAGAGCAGACAGCACAGCTAATGAATCATATTTAAAGAGTCTTTAAAAATAGCTTCCATTAAAGCTGCTTCCATGTGGTTTGGCCCTGTTTGTGCTGGCTGGTGAAAACATGCTAAGAGCAGAGCCAGCCCGAACCATGTTCAAAGGCTGTTTCTGACTTTGCTCCTGCCTTGGTGTGGGTGGCAGAAAAATGTTAGGATTCACCTTTTGTTTCCTTGAGAAATGGAAACCTATTTTTTCCTTTTAGTCTGACTAGTACAGATTGTGCATGTTTATACCCCCACACACACTCCAATCTTTTCTTTTTATGCAAACTATTTTCCCAAAACCTTAAAATACAAAGACTACCTCAAAGAACTGATGTTTGGAGAGTTGATTTTAAGTTGTTGTACTGAAAATGGTAAATATGCTTCTCTTACTGGAGTAAATTAAGCTATTCCACTCAGAAGGATGGTTACTAGAAATTTCCAAACACTTACATAATTCACTGTCCCTCTTTCTCTTAGATTTTCTATCCTTCTGTCTTTTTCAATGGTGGCAAACTTTTAGCAACATTTTTAATCACTTAAAAATGATTTAAATTCCAAAGTAAATTCCAATTGAATCAAGGATTTAAATCCAAAGATAACAACTATTTCTTTTTCTCTAATGCTGTGCTTGAGCTACTTCAGACACTTAGAAAAATAATATCAATTAATAAAAGCATAAAGAAGTTCAGTGCGGATATTTTTGTAGGATCAGAGTCTAATATATTCACCACTGACTACTGCAGAAGCTGTAAGTAAATGCACATTTTCCTCTTTTCTAACAAGGGATTAAAGATCAGTTGTCTGATACAGGGAGAAAATTGCATAGATTATAAATATTTACAAAGCTTAAAATTTTAGATTGATGTTTATACAGAGTTAAATTGTGGAGGAAAGTAAACGAGGCTGTGAAGCAAGCATTTGCAGGGCTTCCTGTGAAGTGAATGTGAAAAAGTGCATCTTAGGTGAGGGCATTTGTCATGGCCCTGCTTACCAAATTTAAAGGTGTTAGTATTTTGCTTACACACAGGATTTTGGAGCAGGGCATCTCCTGTCAAAGGCGATACCTTCAAAACCTGTCTTGCTTTGTTGAGCACTAGAGACACTAGAGACGCAGTCCTCATTTTAAGGTGAGGAAGAATGATGCTAAGGTAAGAATGGGCTGCTAGTAGCAGGATTTTCGTATTTTACTTTTTCCCTGTAACCTAGTCTGAAGGTGAATCCTGAGTCAGTGTTTTGGCAGAGCTCCCAGGATAGGCCTGGCAGGTTTACAAGCTGGCTACCAAAACAGGGAAACCTGAGCTCTTTGCTACCTGGCAAACTACAGCTGGGCAGAGGTTCCAGGACACCTTAAGTCACGTATATACACACATTGTGTCTGAAGCAGCATTTTTTTCTTGTTTGAATGTGGTTTAGTTAATATTAAACTCTGGGTCAGTGCTCTAATGTTTCAGGAGTGCAAATAAGCAGATTTAGGACACATCTATTGAGAAATATAGACAGAAAAGTGCAGAATCTGCTCTCTGCATCTCTCAGGAATTTGTAGTCTCCTGCGTAAAGATAGTTACGTGCTGAGTGGCTTTTCTGATTTAACAAAGCACCTCATTTTACCCTCCTGTCCTCACATGAGCAGGTAAACAGGCCCCAACATCATCCTCCAACACAGGAAGGGTCAACCCAGCATCTACTGTTACACTTCTAATTTCAGACTATTTTCATTTTATTGGAACTCACTTGGAACAAATCAACCACTTCCACACATCATCAGATAGATGTCCAGCAGTACTATACAATACCATTTTCTAATTTCTACAAAATAAATAAATGTGTTAGCACACAACTTCATTTTATAATTTCATGTTTCCTAATTTCTGTGCTGCACTGAGGCTTCCTAGCGAGAGTCTGGAATAGCTGCATTTTCGGTGTGGGGTACACAGAGTAAAAGCAGTTACCTACACATTAGTTAACTACTACTCTACTAAGATAGATAGTACTAAGATAGTAGTAGGTGACTGTGACCAACCTCAAACGAGTTTATTGACACTGCAACGAAATCCTCTTTGAAGGAAGCACTGCCAGCACTGAGCATCTGGCTCTTACTGCAATGAGGACATTATCAGACTGCTGTCACTCAAACATTCTTGCCTTATTATTAAAATTGCTTTGAAAAATAAGTCAACACCTCAGCCATCGTTTTGTATGGGGTAAATGATGTCAATGGCTTGTACTGCCCTCAAAAGATCTGCTTTAAGAGGTACTTTTCTTTTGCAGACGACCATTACTGCCCACACGGAGCGGCAGTCGTCGACCACGACTACCTTGGCTCGTGTGAGAGCCCACGTGATCCACGGCAGCAAGACCCCGCGGAGCGCGGGGGAACAAAGGCCTGTGCGGCAGCTGTGGGGTCTGCTCTGCCAGTCCCCGCTGCGGCTGGCAGAGACCGGGCAGCAGCGGGAGGCAAAGGGCAGCCTGGGCTGAGGGAGGCGCGTGCCGCTGAACCCAGCCCCGCCAGGCCGCAGCAGCGGCCTTCACCCTGCTGGGCTCTTCAGACCAAGACAGAGGCTACCTAAGCAAAGAATCGCACACCATCTTTTACTGGCATGTTTTCAACTTCTGGGGCACCACCGGAACAGTTTTAATAGCCCCAAGTTCCTTGGACAAAGGCACTTCTCTTGGCACTACTCTATGTACTTAAACACTGCACATCTGCAGCCTTCTTAAGTGGCACGGGCATTAAGAAGCGACCCATGTGTCACCAGCCATAGTGGCACAACCTCGAAGCAGCACATCACCTTCATGCAGTTAATTAGACACTCTGGTGGTAGATATGGATGTACACAGCAAGGTGGCCCTGCCTCCCTGTGCATCGTCTCAGGGCACATCACACCATTTCATTCCAGTGACCTTTTCATCAGTCCTCAGCTGACTCATTCTTAACATGCACAGATATTGTGGGATGAATTTAACCTAAGCAATTTAATATAAATTTTGCCTCCAGTGCTGAAAGAGTCAAGAAGCTTATGTCCTCCCTTCTTTTGTTATAAAGTCCTTTCCCATTCTTTTTGGGAAGCTGCAAACTCTGACCTTTACAGCTTTTATTCTTGAGTTTAGCCCACAGCCCTAAGATCTCACAGAACAGTAAAGCTGCCAGAATCAAGTACAGACAGGGCCGTACACATGAAGCAACGGGGCCTGCAGCTGCTCCCTGCTCATCAAAACTTTAGTAGGGAAAGCAATTTTAGTCTCCCAGGCAAGTCAGAATCTGAAGGGTGCTCAGCATTTGCTTGTGCTCTCTTCACAACTCTCTGATTTCCCCTGCTTACTTCCCTCTTTCTTCTCAGACTTAGAACAGGTTTGGAGGAGAATTCCTTTTCTTCCATGGCCTGTGCTCTAGGAAACACGAAGGACCCATGTTGTTTATTCTCTGAATTCCTTGACCCACCTGCGATTGGCCTGCACCTCCTGCTGAGAGGACAGCATCAGAGCACTGGCAAAATCTATCTACTGTTACACTCAGTTGGACAGTAATTGATGAGTGCAGGAGGGTTCAGTTAGTCTTAGGCAGAAGGACTTAAGTCTTCAAGGCTGTTTGGATACGAAACTTATTCAGAAATTCCTACATGTCTTATGGTTTGACCTGTATCACAGGTCATGGCTATGTAAGAACTCAGTATCATCATGCTGTTCTCAAATCACATCCTAAAATGCTTTCTAAATATAAAGTACTTCATGTAGTCCTACATACACCTTTTTTTCCTCCACTGAGACACTTTCACTAAGAACAGGCCTAACAAGGACAACTGGATGTTCTCTCCTAACAGCCTCTTCCTGTACGTCAACTTTGTGCCAAACACAAAGATGAACAAGGTTTGTGTTGTTCATTGATGACTATGCTCCAGCTTAAAAGCCCCTCCATGTATAAATTGCTTTTACCCCCAAGCTATAATGTCCTTTAAGGCCAATAATTTTTATAGTGATTTTTCTAATGCAGTTGAGGAAGTAAGTGGGCTTGCCGAAATACATTTTTCTCACTTAAAGAGAAGACTTGACAAGAAAAAAATATTCTGTTAACCTATCTTGAAAACAAAATGACAGCTACCGTGTGTTTGTAAACAGCAAGAAACTGGTGATGGTGAGTGATGATCTTTTACCTCAGTTTTCTCCTGTGTGATCACACTGTTTTTCTTCAGGAAACCCAATGGAAAGGTGCTCCATGTGGGAGGTGGGGCGGCATGGGCACGCTCAGGAGCTCCATGGTGTGGCAGGCACCCAGTTCTGCACCACTCCTTCCTAGCAGAGCTTCTTTGAGCCAAGCTTAGCTGCTCCCCAAGAACCTTTAGCTTGTTCATAGGGCTTGCTGCCCCAAGTGGCATCTTCTGCCGGGGGGACTTGTTACAACGTGGTCTCGGCTGCCTAACAGGATCTCTTTAGCACTCACTGGCAGGGGGCCTCCTCCTGCTAAAATGTGGGTTCTTCCAGAGTCAGAGAGAGAATCAGGTAGGGGTAAGCCAAGATGCCCTTCTGCTCTGTTAGAGCAATAAAAACCTACCCCATGTGTTATTTTCCAACTGGCTGGTTCCTTATTTGCCCACAGTGCAATAAAGCTGCAGTGCAGAGCGGGGCCGAGGGAGGGGAGCTCTCCTGTGATAGGAGTGACAGGCGCTTCCTGGAGCAACGCCTGCGGAGAAGGAGAGAGGGCAGGGCTGGCTCCGGAATTCCAGAGGGAGAACGGAGGAGAAAGGGCAGGACAGGCGGTGGAAGAGGGAAAAGGGCAGATGTTTAAGAGGCCGCACAGCCCTTCCCTTCTCGCTGATCTGCTGTGCTACCAGGCAAGCATTAGTGCCTCTTAAGCTACATGGAGCCTCCTCTGAATATAAAGGGTTGACTGAGGTAAAATACAGCATTTTCCAGTGAATGGTGCCAAAAACAACCAGGAAGAAACAAAAACCACCCCAGGAAACCTGAGAGGTTGGGAGCAGCACGAGGGAAGTGCAGCGAGCTCACGGAAGCAGGCCGCTCAGGGAAGGATATGGGATAGAATCCCGGCCCCCTTGTGGTGCACTGCGGGACAGGAGGAAGAGGAGGTCGTGCAGCAGGAAGGAAAACACAGTGATACCTGCACCTCCCAGCACAGAAATGCAAACTTTGACCCTTTGGGTTTGCTAGAGGTACCAATTACCAGGTGACAGTTGTTTGAAAAGTGTGTCCCAAACCCACCAGCCTCTGGTGAAAAGCTTTTCGGTGAAACCACCGCGGGCTAAGCATGGAGTAAAACCCACAGCCCTCCTGCTTGGCTGTGGGTGTGCAGTGGCTGCCCGTGCTGTGCTGAGGTGCTCTCACTCTTCGGGTTGGACAATCCGTGACATTTCAAAGTTTCTCCCTCCTTCGTCATAGAACTGAATGTTCCCTGCTGGAGGATGCTGATGAGTCATGATTTGCTTTTCACAGCAGGCAGTTAACAAATCCTCAGGAAACATCAGTCTTGAGGACCAGATGAGTTTGTTTATTCATTTATTTGGGTGCAAAGTCCATGTCAATGGCCTTTTGCAGCAGACCTCATTACTTTAATGACCTTGCATCAAAACCTGTTCCCACAGTAACCTGCTTGGCATTTTCAAAATACACAATGGATTTTTTTTTTTTTTCTTCCTCTTGGGAACAGAGCGGAGGCTTTTGGTTAATGTATTGGATTAGCTAAAACTACAATGCACAATGTCTGGACTCCAGTGGGATGGGAAGAGATGGGACACGAGCCCGAGTCTGCACACTGCCCTCCTCTCACTGCAGCAGGAGGAGAGGCCCCCATCCCTAAACGTCGCCAGAGCAGGGACGGTGGAAAGTAGAAGGGTAGCATGGATAGGAATGACCAGGGTCCAGCAGTGTCTTAGGGGTCATCGATACTACCCTGCTCTTCCCAGACTGAGACCGGCCAGCCTTCTGATTCAAGGCTGCAGGAAAAACACGTTTGGGTCCTCCAGGTGCTGTTGCCCCGCTGCAGATTTTCATCGCCGTGCTCAGCAGCCCCCCTGGTTAAGGCCTTTCACGAGTACCTGCTGTTGCTCATGAGGGTGTTTTCCTGACTGTTTGGGCTCAATCTCTGCACTCTGATGGGCAGAACTGGAGTGATCCGAGCCGCAGCTGATGCCAGGAACTGCCTCGGCACATACGCTCTTTAAGACTAAGTGGGTTAAAAACAATAAATCAGATTTCACCAGTTCAGTCACCAATCACCAGTTAAAGACCTAGAAAAAGAAGAGCGGCCTAACCCGCAACGGAGCAGTTTAGCAGTTGGTTACGCCATTACGCTGGCAAACTTAATCCTTCGGTTTCTTAACTACCTCCCAGCTGTCGGGCAGCACAACCGTGCGGGATTCTCCAGCGTGCAGGTACCTAAACCTGTATTGCTTGCGTATTGTATTGCCCTCCTGCCGCCCCGCTGCTGCGGTGGTCACAGGGTGGCAGTGTCTGCCTGCAGGAGCCTGTTGTGCCAGCCCAGCTGGGTCAGCCCACGGACCAGGAAAACACCCCGTCAGGGACACTGCTGCGTCCCCACAGCTCGCTTTCTTGGCCAAACTACACGCTCAGCAAAGGCACTGTAATGTTTGGGAATTCTTTACCTAGCTGTCAGCACTTTTCAGCATGTTAGTTAAAAAGAAATTCTGGGTTTTATTTAGGATGTTTTCTCGGTACACCCGAGGGCTGTGCTACCATTCGGAGACCTGGGCAGGGCAGAGAGGAACCTCATGAAGTTCAACCAAGGCAAGTGCAGGGTCCTGCAGCTGGGGAGGGGTAAGCCCAGGCGCCAGGAGAGCTGCAGGGAAGGAGCTGGGCATCCTGGTGGGCAACAGCTACAGGGACAACGTGCCCCTGAGGCCACTGCGGCTTCCTGTGGGATTTCTCATTTGTCAGCAGGCTGCATTAGAACAAGCAGAGAAGGAAACTCTTCCAGAAAGAGGAAGGAGGTAGAGTGGGGATAGTTATGGCCAACATCAGCAGGTTAAAAACATCATGAAGTGTTTTTTTCCTGAAAGCATTTGGCCAATAGGAGCTAGGAGCAGCTAATCCAAGGCCTAATTTACAGGGTGCCTTCTTGTGGAGGAGGGGGGAGACATATAAGAAATATAGTATGATCAAGTACATAGAAATGTACCTTGAGAAACATCACAGGCCTCCGGCCATCGATTTTGTCACACTGGTTGTTTGTTTCTTCAGAAAGAGAAGAAATTAGCAAAATCTTTGGTGATGGTTTGTGAAACATCATCACAGGAACTGGATCCAGATGCTCATCATGGGATGCTAATCCACTGCTAATCAGTATGAATGCATTTCTGTGCACTCGTTGCATGCCTGACCCTTCACTTGAGACACAAGACCAAACTGTACATTAGGTAGCTTGCATCATCACTGCCACTTGCTCCAGACACTTGCTGTAGTCTTGTAGTGTCCTTGGCATCCTGGTACCTCTGAGAGCTGACTTCAGCTGTGGTTGGAGCAGGGTTATGGACAGGAACATTTTTGGTACTCTTTGTATTGTACATTAAAGTTGCAGTGTCACCAGCTTTAATTTTGCCTCCCCAAACCTACATCTAGGAATCATTTCCCCATTTCTAGTTATTTCTAGTTATATCCAATACTCAGTGCACGACAACAGTCCAAACAAACTGTGCAATGTTATAACACACCAGGTCAAAACTAAATGTGCATCTTAATGTGCAAATAAATAATAAAGTTACTTTTGAGCTGCTCAGCAGTGACCTCCCCCCGCTACGCTGCACTGCTAGGCCATAAGCAGTACAGTTCACACGCATGTATCTCAATGGCAAGGCAGAAATCCCTGAAGTCCCTCTTCCGTACCGTGACGCACACTTAATTCTAATGCTCTGTAGCATGACAGACATAAGTGACCTAAAAATTCTGGTAAGACACAAATAAATCTAGCTTCGGCAAGCAAGCAACTGTTGCAATTTACCATATTGATCTATAAATCTTCATTAACTACTACAGTGCACTGCTTAATTAGAAAACTCTACTTAATCAAGATGCTTCCCAAGGAATCAATTTATACCTAATGATAATTATGGCAAGGACAGCTGCTTAATTGGGATGGTAATTTCATTTAATTGGGGCACCTTCAGATGACTTAGTGCTGCTTTGGTCTGCACGAGTTCAGATTCAGTCTGTTGCCCCCGTGCCCTTGGCAGGGGCCTCAGGCTGCTTTGGGGCGAGATGCTGAACTCACGAGCCCAGCGCTCGAGACCAGAGGCTGCTGCAAATACTCAGCACATACAGGAGGGCTTTTTTTTTAATTTTTTTTTCAGTTTATAGAGAAAAAAGAAAAGAAAAAAGGCAGTTCTTGCAAGTTGATGTGGTGCCGTTGAAATCTTAGAACAGGCAGCTAAACGTTGGCCATTAATAAAATGGGCTTTTCTTTGGGAAAATTGCTGTAACTCAAATAAATCTGTTTGTCCTGAATCCCCTATCTCAGATCAAATAGCTAGTATTCAACATCTAGCACATAAATAACAGGATTAGCATATATAGCCTGCTGGGATAGAGGATGATCTGCTACCTTATTAAAGTTAGACCCATGAGAAAGCCCATGCTTCTCTTTTGAGACAAATTTGGTTCTGCTTAATGAAGTAAGTGGTAGCTTGTGTTTTTAAAATGCAGCTTTGCGGGAGTAGGAGGCAGCAGTCAGTGCCTCCAAGCAGGCCCAGGTGTTCTGCTATCTGACCCACCGTGAATCGAGCGCATCCAGCCTTCCTCTGGAGGTACCAGAGGGCCCTGCTTGCTGCTGGGGGCTATTCCACCCACATCTCCCCACGGTTTCGTGCCCAGACCAGCCTCCGAATCCTGGAGAACCAGGACCCTGATTCGTGCGGAGTTAGTCTGTCTTGGCTCGTGCTTGCAATTAAGCTGTGCTCACCTCCTCCAACCACCAGCAAAACAGAGTCTTTTTCTTAGTGGAGACAAAGATCAAGGAAAGGAAGGAGGCAGCCGCCTATGATCTTCTCTGACCTGGTACCCTGAAAGCAGAGAACATCCAACATCAGATGGACAGGCCATGAGCTACCCAAATGCCAGAAACACTCACCCTCACTGACGGCATCTGACAAAATCTGGGATCCCACAGAGCTGATGCCACCACTTGTGACAGCTGTGTCACCACAGCTTGCTTGATTGCAACTCAACTGCTCTCACAGGAAATATCCTCGAGACTGACCTCCTTTAAGGAAAGTTTTAGAGGATCCTTCCCAACTGCCTTATTCCCGTTTATTCATATACAAGGCAATCAAGTCCACAGATAAAAAGAGCATTGCTTTTCTTACACGAATGAAGAGAGAAACTGGCTGCTTTCTCCTTGCAAAATGAGAAAATATAGATCAGCTGGAAAAAAAAAAGAATACCATCTAATGACAAAAACCATGAAACAGCATCTGTACTCTGGCATTTTAGAAAGCTGTCCTGGAAATGTTGCTCTTGTTGAGAAAGAACCTGCTGAGGATTTTAAGGCTTGTTCCAAGAGGAGAGTTACACCTTCTGCTCCGCTATCCCTGCCCTTCTTCCCCCAAAACACCTGCAAAAATCACTGCCCTGCTCTCCAAAGAAACCCCCCAACTTATTTTTCTGGCCCTTTTCCCCGTTGGCAGTGGCCTGTTCAGCACCTGCACTGCCGGCCACAGGAGTCACTCCACAGAAGCCCATGGTGGCAGCTGCAGCCGCAGCCCCGGCCGTCCCGCCAGGCTTCAGCCCGGGGCGATGCGCGCGGCCCCGGCCCATCCGGCAGCTCTTCTGCCCATCTCCTCCTCCACGAGGCAGCGCCGACTGAAATGGAAGTTCCTGGATGAACAAGGAAGGAAGGAACGTGCGGAAACGGGAAAGCCGGCGCCACACACCAGGCACCGTTAATACCTACCCTGGCTGCTTTGTGTATGCAATTTGAGACACAGGTTTCCTCTTAGCTGTGACCATGTTTTATTAAAGTAAATGCCCTGCAGTTTTTATATACAAGTAAAATTTCTTTTTAAATGTTTAAGCTTGGTTTTGTACATGTATGGAAATTAATCTTGCTTAAAAGAAAAAAAAGAATTGCGACATAGGAAAATATCGTCCAGCTTCCATACAAAATAGCACTTTTTCTCTGCTGGTAGAAGACATTAAAATTTTCACTGTAGTAAGTGGCCTGTGTAACTTTTACAAAAGTCGTATACAAAAAAACCCTTAAAGTATGCAGAAATTGCAAAGTACACTCTGACAGCTAATGCTCTGCGAACACTTTATTACACAAATTACATTCAGCTTCTGAAAATAGTATTCTAACAGTGATACCATCTAAAAATAAGACATCCCGGAAACACATAAAGTCAGGAAGAAGAAAAAAAAAATTAAATACTTTTTTTCTTTCCTTCAATGCAATATAATGTTAGTGATTTTAAAAAAATAGAAGAAGATTTAGCAGCTTCATTTTCTTGTGGCACTGTATTTTCTCTGTACTGCAACAGGTTAAGGAGATTGAAGAGGAAAGGCACAAAAAAAGAAAGAGGCAACTGAAGAGTTATGGGAAAAATATTTGGATAAAGCAGATAATGGGACTTATTTACAAATACAGAAGAGGTCCCAGACTTGAGATGAGAAAATACTACTGCTTTAAATCAGTGCTGCAATTAAGAGAATTTGCTTTATTAAGATGTTCACATAAAAACAACGGCACTGATATGAAACTTCCACACACTCCTCCACTTAAAAAAAGAAAACAAAACAAAACAGAACTAAAACCAAACAAAGGGAAAAAAACCAAAGGAACCAGTGTACAGCCCCACACAGACTAGTACAGTTTACAATTAAATACACAAAATCTTAAACGTGCTTAAGGGAAAAGGAATCTGACATTCTGGGTTGAATCGTATAATGGAGAACTCAAAGGCTGGTTTCAGGATGGCGACGGCGCTGCTGGCGGCGGAGGTGCTGAATACTCTTCCTCTGAGTCCGTGCCATCATCCTCATCTTTCTCCTGATCGCTTCCTTCGGTGCTGAGCCGGTCAAACCCTTTTCTGCTGTAGCCTTTGTGACTCGCAAAGAAGTTACCAAGGTTCAGGCCTCCACCACCTTTTCCTGGGGAACAGAAACACTTGCCATAAGCCTCGCTGGATTGCACAAGGTGCGAAAAAAATGGATTAACCCAGAACAGAGATTATTCTAAGTGTCCTTCTGCACCTTACCACTAAAGTAAAAGTTTCAAAGTGTTTTCTTTTGCAACATCCATGGTTAGATTAAAAGCCTTTGCCCAGGCTGCCTGTGTTCCCACCAGTCTTCATTTTGTCCATAATATCCAAAGTCATCATTTAATTCCCCAAACACTCGGATAACCCAATGCCTACTGGTCTCCTGCCAGCAGGGCCACATCCTCATCGCTGGCAGATGTTGACAGACAAAGGTGGCAAAGACACTTCCTCGTAAAGTAGCTGAGTTTTTACCCCTTCTCTTCTCACTGGGAGAAAGTTTTATTCCCACATTTCAAATCTCTCATTCAACTAGAAGCAAATACAGAAACAAACTCCAGTTGCTGGGTTCTTAAAGGCCCTGCAGAGCCACTTACCTCGAAGTCTGCCTAAAATTCTGCCTGAACTTGAATCAATTTTATGTTCCGCATCAGCTGAAAAATAAAGGAGATTTCAGAAGTAAGTTTTAAATCATAATATACGTTTAAATCATTAACTGTGTTTACTGGTAAAAAGCACAGACACTCAATAAATTGATCAGCAGTTCCAACCAACAAAAATAACACTTTTCAGCTTCCCTGCTAAAAATCATCCTTCATCCTATGAGTATTCAGTTTATGCTGCTTCCGCCATTGAGAAGATTCACAGACCAGTTATTTCTGAGAACGTCACTTTTTCAACATTTCACGTTTGTTACTCTGAAGATTTTATGGGGAGAATGAGAACCAATGAACAAAAGGACTCCTAAACAAAAACAAACCAAACTCCCCCATCCCGGTAATTCTACTAGGAAAATAAACCACACAGGTAAATTATGGCTTGTTTTGTTTTGTTTTTGTTTCCCTTAAACGTACTACCGAGTCTCCATAGGTCTGTGCAAGGCTTACTTTTCCCAGTATAACTATATTATGCTGAGGCACTGAACCTTCAGGGGCCTTCAGGTTGAGGCCTGGGTCAAAGTGGAAAGCAACGATGCTACCTTAGACCACAGCTGTGAATTCCCCCCCTGCAGGAGTTTAGAGCGTGGGCACCTTTGACGCTAAATGTATTTATTCGAACACGATGAAGCAGGGAGCTACACACCGAGATGTTCAAATAAAATGCATCAAGCTCAATTCCTCAATAATATTGCAATGCTGAATTATCTCCTCTTTTATACTCTGTCTCAGCCTATGATATTGGCAGAACTAAATTATCGGTGTATTCCAAATGCACTTTCTTCCCTTCCGGAGGATAACTTGATAAAGCTATTTATGTCACACAAAATAACAAGTGCAATGATCAAAGTGCTACTGCAGCCTCTCAGTTTCTCCAAAAGGCTATTATATGGTATGAATAAGGACAACTTTACACACTTAGCACTGTTACTCTAAACTAAAGCTGTCACAGCAGCGGATGGAGGCACCTAACAGAGTTTGACTCTCAAAGCACCCGGGATGGCAGGGAACAGCAATTCCCTCCGACACGCTTCCAGTTTGCCTTTTGCTCACACCACACAATACCCACAGGGGAGGGTCTTCGCTCTTCAGGATTTAAAGACCTCAAAGGGAAGGGGTCAAGCAACGCACTGAGCGTTAAGAGGAACGCTTTAGACAGTGATACTGCTGCTGCCCTGTAGCTGTGACCACGACGGCAATTTCTACCTCAACAGTGATCAAAGGAAAACGCAGCTCCAAGTTCTGACAAGGTGGAGGCGCGAGGGCAAGGCGGAGGGGGATGCAGGCGCTTTGGGCGCGCGGAGCGCTCACATCCCCCGGCAAACGCCGCTCCGTTGGCGCGCAGCGGCGCGCGGCGCTGCCTGGCAGGGCTCCTGTCCTGCCCCATGTAGCTACTCTCTCGAGCTACTCGCCGTTACCTCCGTAGGCTGCTGTCTTCCGCCACCGAATGAAGACTAGAATGGCCAGCAGGACGACGACAGGGATGATGAGGAGGGTTGTAATGAGGACGAAGGAAACCCCGGTGCTGGCCTGGCGCACCAGGTGCTGCTTTTCCGCCTTCTTGAGAGGCTCAGTTGATTGTGGGCTGTTTTTCAGTTTGGTTTCTATAATTGTTTCTGAGTTAAAAAAAAAAAAAAAAAAAGAGAGAGAAATATATATCTATATCTCTATAAGGAATCATATGTATCAAGCAACACAAAGAAAGGTCTTAAAGGAAAAAAACAGGGTACCTCAAGTCTTGAATAATAAGGAAACAGAAGACAAACATTTATGAGACAATTTTAATTCCTGCTGGTGACATCCCAAAGCAAGACGGAGTCTGAATTGCACTACTTTCTAGGAAGGATGCCTTCTCCTTTCCTCTAATAACGAGCTATCATTTAAAATCTGGGCAAATCCTATAAAAAACCCTAATTTCTGCACACAGGCGTATGATTTATTTATCTATTTAAAAATCTCCTGATAATAATTCTGACATAAGAAATGAAAAAAACTAAATCCAGTATGCTGTATTATCACAAAATAGCAATCATTTATTGTTCTTTCACATAAATTTGTGACCAAGGGCTAAACTTGCAGAACTGCTACCTCCCACGACAGACCTTTGGCTCCTGAAGTCCTGAGTGTTTTCCAAAACTGCATCCAGCGATTCCTGCCTATTTCACTTCAGTACCCTAGGCAGTTTCAGGGATGGGTAAGAAATGACTTGCAAATGCCCATGTGGTGCTACTGGGATCCTTCCCATACAACCCCAGAAGTGTCAGGTAGTTTCCTAAGGAAAGCTCAAACGCAATCCCCTACGCCCACGTTCATTACACCATTGATGCTGCAACACTTCTCTTCTGCCTGATTCAGGAAGCCTCGTGCACCAGTAGAGATGAAATAGAAGGATAATAGTTTTGGCATTTGCAATTTCCCTGTTTATACTGTCAGCCTATTCCACTCTGTGCTTGTGTTTGGCAATTTGGAGCTTCCCGTATACCTCTCTGTATTCACAGGCCTAATTCAACCCACAGAAGCTCTGAATTCAATCAAAGAAAACCAGCTGAGAACAACGCAACATTTTACCAAGGCCTCTCCAGAGCCAGGTACCGCTGCTCTGAAAGGGAAATGAACATTTCCTTCATCCACTCAGGAGACTTATGAAACAGAAGATTAATGGTTTAAAATAATTACTTTTCATCTCCCTGACTTATTATCTTACCCCTTTCAACCTCATCTATACATGCTTCTTATCTCCTTTGATTAAGTCCCAACACTTTTTTTTTTTTTTTTTTTTTTCCTCTCTTCATTTTCATGCAGACAAATTGGGGGGAAAAAGAAAGTAAATCTCAGGAAATAAATCTGAATGTGCAGGATGTTATTTTTTGGTTGAGCAATGTAACTGGCAAGGCTGAAAGGCCACAGAGGGAGATGAACCAAATGCTGTTTCAAGTAAACCCGCGGGGCGGGAGCGAGGCAGCCCTGGGCAGCAACTATCGCCCTCCCCTTGCCGAGCTACTTCTGCATCCGAGGGAGCTGACACAGATCCCAATCTGGCCACAGCAGATGGTGATGGGGAAAGGCTGCTGGGGCTGAGCTGGCGGTTCAGGGCCTGCGAAGCGCCTGTCACCGACGGAAAGGAAACGTTGGGATCGGCTGCAGAACAGGCGTCTCCCAGGTAGCAGGGCAGCAAGACACCTTCTCTTGCCTCCTATGCCCTTTTTATCCTAGTAACTGCATAAGAGGATGGGGACAAGCTAGTCAGCAGTTCTCTCTTCCCAAAGTTCTCAGCACGAGCAGCCACAGTAAAATCATATTACGTATTATCATAGCACAGTCACACAGAGCCACAGTATAAAACAGAGGGGCCCTTCGTGTCCATTATGTATCATACCAACCTTTTACTTCCTGCACCTCGATGCCAGCCTTTTTAACTGACCGATGCTCCATTTCTGTAAGACACAATTGCTCTTCAGGACAAGTGACATTTTAAAACAACGCCCAGTGACATTTCCCTGCTAGCTTCCTCAATGCACCACACATCCCTGCAGTAAATAGTTACGTTAGCATCTGAATGTCCCCGGGGAGAACCGATATAAAGCATTCAATAGCTCACCACCCCGTTATAAATGAATATTTCTCACGCTACGGAGAGCTTTTACGGGCATGTGTCCCTCCAAAATCAGAGTCTTCATTGTAATCAGAAAGGTGATGGGCTAAAGGCTAGCTGATAAGCACTGCTTAGTTACTGCAGTTTTATACTGCAATATATGCTACAGAAGAAAAAAATACACAGGACTTTTTGTCTGACCTGGAAGTGGTAAGTGAATCCAGTATTTTTGGGGTCCTCATATGTCTTTGAATAAAGCCTAGAAGTGGTTTTGCTCACATTACTATAATCAGAAAGAGCCACATCCAGGCAGACTTACAGCTTATCTAGTCCAGTTTCCTTTTATCAACAGCAGCTGGTACCAGATGCCTCAAAGCAAAATCCATGAATTATAAACAGATAAATATGGAATAACTGGCTTAGCCAGAAGTTCATTTATAACAGCAGACTGTTCAGCTGGTTGACTAACGCTCTGAAGCCTGAGGCTTTGTCTCTCATATGGTTTTTTTCCATCCTATATAACTTAACAGTGGATTATATTGTTATTGCTATGAAAGGTCTAATCCCTCTCTGAACCCTGCCATGTTAATGTCTGACTAATCAGGTTCCGCTCCTTGAAGTCAAGCAGCTTGGTTTGGGGGTTACTAGATTAAACTGGGAAGTATTTCCAATTAATGGCAATAGGACTTCAAATTACACAGGATTCCTTTTCTAATGGTAAATACTCCCAATGAGATGACGATCTATGTTGACTGGTGGCTTTATTTCAACCCCGAAGAATTTCTTATTTGACAACCCCTAAGGAAGTAGTGGGCTTGACAGCAAAACATACGTTAAGAGAAGTAAATAAAATCCACACTAAAAAGCTGAAGGGCCTTGCTTTTGTTTAAGCATGTACTAGCAACATGATAAGGGATACTGTGAGGCAAGTGCCTTCTGATCCCTCCTTCTGTGACAAATCAATTTATGTGCCTAGGACTCTTCCTACCAGCATACATAGCAAAGTGGTCTTTTAAAAACATCTGAGCTGCCACATGCAGCTTCGGGCAGAACTCCCAATATACTAAAATTATTATTAAGCAACCAAAGTTTTGCCAGCGTTTACTTATCCGAGGCTCTAAAGTTGGGACACTTGAGAACAAAAAGAACACACTTTCTGTGGATGTGAACTTCCATACTGTTCTAGCGTGAACATCTCCAACAAACACTGTTTTATCTTCTGAAGCAACAACATCGTGTGGCATCTCAAAGCTCTGTAAGGACAAACAGTCACAGGTTACCTAAGAGTTACACACTCACAGCCTGACACAAAATTAAAAGTTTGGTTTAACCCTGAACTTGGACAGGTCCTTAGACTTGAAATCATAAGAGACTGTGGTGGCAAGGCCTAATATGAGCAAAGGGGAGGAATTTCCTACCTCTTGTGTGTGTTTGCTTTCTCTAGGGACATCAACACAGAGATTGCTAGGCATATTCCTGCTAAGCAATTTATATCTATATTCTTGCAATCAATTTTATCCTCTGAAATAATCCATTTGCAAACTCAGCTTGCTACCACAAGTATCCTGCACACACAAGTATCAGCTATAGTAGTGAACAGATGTTTAAGCCAAATGTAGCTTATCAATGGGGGGTTATTTTTTGTAATCATATGGCTATACTCTCACTATAAAATGACATTTTTTTTAAACTTTTAAGCAAAGGAAGCAACCTTAAAGGCAGCATACCAACATGCCACTGGAACAGCAGCTGTAAGTATTGATACACTGCTACTGTATCACTCATTCCCTATCAACTCAGCCCAAATCTGAGCTGTTCCTTCTCCCAAGGCAAGGTGCTGGCATTTGGTGGAAACACATCACTGCTTATTTCACAAGCAAGGATTTTAATGGATGAAACCCCTAACTTACTAGAGATGACGTATTAGACTCTTTAAGGCATGTTATAGACAACAGTTCATGAGAAATACCAGAAATTATATTATAAACAGTCTCTTAGTCATAAACACAAAAGCTACAGACAAGTTTGTGACACAGGTTGAAGATTTGACCACTTAACCTTTGGTTTTTACAGACCAGGCTCTTCTGCTTGGCTTTATCCTTCAAATTCATTTCTTGCTCTGAACCTTGGTATCCACAACTAATTAAATGAGGAGCTTCCACGAGAAGCAATAAACTGCTGTTTGCTGAGTAAATTCCAAGGTACCTCTGATTTGGGAGACAATTTAGAACTAGTTTACTGAACAACTCAAAAATATCTGCCTTTATTCTGAAGAAATGTCTTCCCAACTACTACTGCTGCTCCCCAGAGCCAAAAGATCCAAAGGTGAGGAAAGTTCCACTCTCCTAGAATGGAGAAACCAAGGAACCTGGAGTAAGAAACCACCCATGAAGGTGAAGCCTCTACAGAAGCAGGTATTGCTCTGGCCTGGGTACCTGTCCTGAATCGTCTACTCTAGATGTAGGAATTAACAAGTTCTTCCCCAAACCAGTTTTCCTATCACTGGCTTAAAACTGGACTGCAAACAACACAGCATGCATGCTGCCTAGCACAGGATGCCTAGCATTTACTCTTCATTATAACACAATTTATGGGACTTTACATTATTTTTTTTAAACAGTACACATAGCTTGTATTTACTTTTATGAAATATTGTGTCAATTGTTTAGCCTGAACTTCTGCACTAAAATTCTGCAAAGAAGGGATGTGGCCATACTATTCACTGCTCTCCGGCTCAGGAATATACTCTTTCTTTTTTGTCATCCTTCTAGTACCTAAATATAAGAATATATCCAGACTTTCATTCTTCTCTTAAATTAGCTTTTAAGGACAGTCTGCCAACAAAAAAACAGACTTCTCCTAGCGGAAGGGTCATCTTGAGGCTTCAAACATGTAGCACAGGTAGAATGCAAGGCTCAAAGTTCAAGGGTGTTTGTCAAGTTCATATCAAAGAATGCCTTTTGCATACACTGTGCGAAACATCTCATTTTCCCAAGTGCCTTACAAGTGAAGAAGATGTTGCCAGCATTAATAAGATGCACAAGGCAGCCTGTGCAATACTCTACCTTTCTAACAGGACTGAAAGTATCAATTATCTCTCCGGTAGAGAAGTTCATCACAAATCCTTGCACTGGTTCCGTCTCTCCAGGATAAGGCATTCCGTTAACGGCGAAGAGGAGACCACCTGCAACAACAAGCACGCTGCTTTTGCAATCCACACGTTGCTGCCGCTCCACCGGCGGGAGCGGGTGTCACAGCACAGCTGAAGGCAGCTGTCCCCAGGAAAGACAGTGAGCGCGACACAGCTAACTCCATAGGAAACCCCAGCGCTGCAGGGAAGGCCGAGGTGTAACTCGGGCTTCTAAGGCATGGAAAACTTGCCAAGACAACAGGATAAAGCTCAATCTTTGTGTTGATTTTATTGCTGAAGGTGCTGAGGAGACTTCCCCACTCAATATATACTTTTTTTTGTAGTAGTAGAGAGGTCAGAGGAGCCATCTCGGTTTGAATACTGAAGGTATGAGACAAGTTAGAGGTTAATATTTCACTGGGACTAGCAATGATTCTGACTGCCATCCCCAGTAAGACGGTAGAGTCCATAACAAAGAATAAGGTTCCTGAGTACATGGATAAGCATCCTGGTATTAAATGTCTAGCCTAATAATACAGTAATCCTTAGTCAGGCTTTAAGAGGAAAAACAAAAATCAAAACAAAAATTTAAAAAGCCCACAACTTTTAAGAACTGTTTGCTTTCATTTTTTTTTCTTTTCTGAAACTCAGTAATTTCCTTGACTGTCTGGAAACCTTTTATTTTGCCCTCTAATGGAGCTTGACATGAATATTTTAAAACATTGTTATTAACTAATTATTTGACTGTGCATCACAGAGAAACAGTCTCATCTACTCGTGACATCATATTTAGGGAGTCAATTAATCATTTCTCAGGAGCAGACATCATATGCTATGCTTTTTTTTCTCCTTCCCAAAATAATACAGTTCTAAAATTCTCCATTACATCCGCATACCTTTGAGAGAGAATAAATATCTAGGATACACAATAGCACTCTTAATGCAATGACGCTGTATATTGTGACATAGTGCCATTAAACAAGCACTTGCAATGCGAAGAACACGCGAAGCAATTACCTGGCACATAGGAAACAGCAAACAACTCTCTTCCAAATGACTTGTGCTTGATCTCCCTTAGGAACTGCCCCGTCTCCAACGCGAAGCACTGGATGCGACCGTTCTCCCTGTCTGCGACGCAGAGCTGACTGAATTCAGGGATCAGGGCCAAGCTGTGAGGGATACGGAACTGCCCGGGTCTGGCTCCGTCGGAAGAAGTGCCTGTAATGTGAACCACCCAGAAGTGTGTGAAGATGCACACTGACACCATCATCCCTGACTAGAAACCACCATATTCCACCTAATGCATAGGAAAAGAATAAACTTGGTTTGCTCCCTCATTCCCCCCCACACTTCTTAACAGCTTTATTCATTTAGGTGAGCTACACTGCTCTACCCTGCTGTCTTTGCAAAATCTGAATTTATGCATTGGTTAGTTCTCTGTTAATACTTGGAGTAGCGGAATGCTTGACACACAAGCCTGAGTTGGACAGAAACGTGCCCAAGAACAAGCTAGCTAGTTGTTTAGGACAATCCCCTAATACTAAGGAATTTATAAATACCCACTTTGGCTAGCTGTATAACCAGAAGTGAGAACACCGAAAGGCCAAAACTCAGTCAGCACCTTTGAAGATATTACTGTAATGGATCCAAAGAAAAGAAATAATGTCGACAAGCTCATGGCCCGTGATGGCAGGAGCTCACAAAAGCAGTGCTATCAGCTCAGCACCGCAAGCTCGACCTGTACCTTCACCCCACTGCTGGAAGCTCGACCTGTACCTTCACCCCACTGCTTGAGGAAGGACCCGCTCGGAGAGAACTGGACGATTCGGCTGTTGCAGTAGCCGTCAGAGACGTAGATGGTGCCGGTGACCGGATCCACGGCCACATCGGTTGGTTGACAGAAGTGGTTTCTGTCACTGCCCGGTTGCAGTGCCGTTCCTAAGAGCAGTAATGGCTCTTTATCATCCGCTCCCAATTTGAAAACCTTTTTGTTAAGTCAATGGGAAAAGATAAGAGGTCTTAATTCTGGAAGATGATACACCAGAGGGATAACTGCTTATGGAAAAAAACTATTATTTTGGCATAAAATAAACACATTACCAAACATGACCTTAGTATATTGACTGTGAGATCTACTAGCAGCTATTACAGAAGTGTCAACTCTTGGAAACATCTGCACAAAATAAAAATTTCCTGTGATTGCCATACATGGCTTAGCTTTACATTCAGAGTATGGGAACATAGGAATTGCCAAGCAGAGCTACAGTAGGATCATCTGTTCTGTTACAGGGGAGACACTGTTTTAAAAGAGCAACTTTCATTCCTGCTTGTCCATGTAACAAATTACTCCATACAACTATATGCCACTATGGTCCTGAGCTTCTTTTTTTTTTTTTTTTTTTTTTCAGGTGTTTTCTTAATTTGCTGCAAACAACCTTAGCTAAATAAGTGGTATCAAATTCATAGGAACTACAGAAATTATCTTTGGCATAAGTTTTAAGATGTTGACATGGAGGCTTCAGAAACATACCTGATGGAGCGCTACATCAGTGACCCAGTAGTTACCATTTTGGTCTATACTCAAGCCATGCGGTAAATAAAATCTGCAATCACAAATATCAAGGGATTGAATAAAAAAAATATGTTTCAGGAAGAATAATTTAAAAGAGGGTTTTCAAGATTTCACTTTTTATTCTGAAAGCCACCAAATGCTCTACATAATAACAACATGTAGCATTTAATGAAGGAAACAGCTTTAAAAGACAGAAGCTTCTCAACAGGAGTTTCAACTTTGGAATTCCCTCCATCTCAGGTACATCACCAGGACTAATATTTGTTATCTTTAAGGATGATATACACTGGCCACCTCTGTTTCTCTTAATTTGTTTCTGTTAATCTGGCTAATAGATGAAATTATATGAATTCCTAGAAAGCTAAAGCAGTGAGGATACCAAATGGGAACTCTCCAGGGCAAAAATAAATGAATAAATAAATAATATATATGCATATATATGTGTGTGTGTATACACATATATATACACACACACATATACACCCCCCCTAAAATTAAAACTAATTTTATATACCTACATTAGAACTTTAGATATATAAAGTTAACATTCTTATGCTAATTTTTGCTAATAACAGCAAAATAACTTACAGATTTTTGCCCGTGGAATGAAGCAGTTGAGCATTATTTGGATTCAGCACCAGAATGGTGTCCTGTTCAATTGGTCCAACTCCTTGTTGCTGATACACAAATTTGCTGTCAAAAGAGCTACACAGAAACATTGGAACATAAAGCTAAGATTAGCAGGGCCCACTGATGGACAACACATGTAACTCAGACTTGAGTTTTGCAGACCACTTCTGGTCCTTTTTCTTTTTTTCTGCCATTATGCAAGAATTCTACTGTGAGATGTCAAGTCTTCCTGCTGAGGTTATGCACCCAGTCAACACACCAACAATCAAGGCAAACCTAAGTTTTCTCTTACTAAAACAATGAAACAAACGGACAAAAATCTTTGACTCCATGAAACTGCATAACCTAACTAAAAGCACAGATAAACATCAAGGCATAACCATCCATACGAATTGGTACACACTATCTGAGGTATTTGATTGTGACTAAAATGCTGGAACACATGACATGCTCCCCCTCTTTGACCCTCAATTTTTAAAACCATTTCTTCAACCCCTAAAGAGAAATCCAATTCTGATTGATGCAAGATGGTAAACAAGAATACACTTGTAACAACAAAGGCCACAAGCACAGCTTTTAAAGCTATCTTGTATACTCCTAGCAGCCTAACCTCTGCATTACATTAAATATTCATGTACTGAGAATATTCAATGTGGCAAAGCAATTCTGGCTTCATATATAACCAGCAAAATATACGAAGTGTTTAAATTTCTGCAGAGACTACAATTAAAAAGCAATGTTTCGACATTACCATTATGTGGAGTAACTACCTGCTGCTACCTACTTAGTTCCTGACTGAAAGCAGTAAATCCTGTTTACTATGAGTGGTTATGCAGGAGGTGATAGCTCCTTAAACTCTCCGCTAAGCCCTCCTAAAGACTGTTTGTCTTAATCCTATAAGGAGATGCAGGGTAAATAGCGCTGGCTCGCACTAGCCTAGTGATGTTCAATGTGCTTATTTGAGCCCGGTTCTGCAGTTTCCTTCTTCAGCATCATTGAGAGCAGCTGCCTACGGAAAGGTCTCGGGCTTTTAAACAGCTTTACTAAAAAGCACCGCCCTCCCCCAAATCACAGGCTCCATTTCAGTAAGCGAAAGGGGTCCAGGAATCTAATGCTCTTAAGGACTTATTCTAGGAGGGGATGGCCACAACTGGGGGAGCAGCACTAGGCGGACTATCCTCATGTCTGGCCAGGCACAGCATTATCCTACCAAGCTTGGCTAATGCTGTAGCCTCACATCTGCTTGCAGAGAAGGCGACGGGGGCCAGGAGACTTCTTCTGGCTCCCACACGATTTCCTGCTTTCCACAGCAGCACGAGAGAGATTTTGCACACCTGATTTATCTTGGTTAAAAATGTTTCAGTCTGTCCTACACTAATGGAGTCACTTAAGACAAACCGGAGAGAAAAATCTCTCCTTTCCAGCCTCAGGCTCCGTGCAAGTTACGTGGCACTATCCATCAGCAGAGCTAATCACAGAAGAGAATCTTACTGACTGAGCGGTCCTGCACAAAACCCCAGGAAAGCCAACTGCACCTCTTTGAAGGGCTGTCTACACAGCTTAAAAACATGGGCATCTTTCCCTGCTATGATTTTGCTTCTCACTAACAGCCCTGTCCATGTCTGAAGCGTTCCCTGTCAACCACCACCTAGTTTTTTTCCTGAGAACTGAGTGTTTTGAGGATCAATATGTGACTGGGTAGTATTTGCAGCAAAGGAAGCCCAGGCAGCTTTGACTGCAGTTTTGGGAAAGGTCTTTCATGCACCTGCTCCCTAGGAAGTGCCCTTTTGTCCAGGGCTAGCAACTTCCCTCTCTCAAGAGCAGAGTGCAACAAAATTACCGGCACTCTCCTCTCCCTAGGGTTTGAGGCTAATCCCCAACATAATCAATGCTCCTCTTTTCAACTGATAACGGAGGACACAAATTGTACTGACTACCGCTAGTTTGAAAAAAAAGAGTCAGTCCAAGCTGAGCAGCTCACTATTACACGCCATACTGCTCTGCTCTCAGCATCGTTTTCTACGAGGCTTTGCAGTTTGCAATCCAAGCACCTCTAAAACCCGCAGCGTAGGCTACTGCCTCTCCTTCCCACCCTCAGCACACTCCCCTTGTTATTCTTCTGCCTTCCCAGCTGGTGGCTTGCTACCACGCGCAGCCTCTATGGGCTACAGACCCGATCCAGACGGGGCACCTGCTCCCCCAGCTCCGGCAAGGGCACCGCTGGGCTCTGGCCGTGGGGGACGGACACCCGGCCCTGCCGCGGGGAGGCCGCTGCTCGGCCTCCGCTCTCCTGTCCAGCCACGGCGCCCGGAGCGCAGGAGCAGCCGGCCAGCAAGGCACCTGATATTCCTTGTTAGCCCTTGCATAAATGACAGGCATTTTTCCTTTTCGCCACAAAAACCCAGAAGAATTTTCAAGTAATTCACTGCTTGGCGGGCCGAATAGTTCTCATTTATGTCCCTGTGAATAGCAGGCACAGCACACAGCACAAAAGACGGCTCTCTAACTGAGGAGGCTGTGGGGTAAAAGAATATGACTCATGTAAAAGGTTCTTTTTTTTCTTCTTCTTTAAAAAAAAATCCCTCACAGGAGGAATGTTAAAGCCACTGAAAAGCTGCTACTATATTAAAGGCCTGACATGGTATAGCTGTTTTTGCCTTCTCCAGCAGAATACAATTGCATTATAAACCAGCACAGACCGTTCACTCAGCTACATTTAGTTGAATAAAAATCCAGCTTTTATAGCACATATTAATAATGCATTGGCAACATTTCTGGAGTGTCTAATAGCACAGATAATTTGTTTACTTATTCCTATACCGTGCTGGTGGAGCTCTGAAACAGAGGAAGAATTCTGGGCCTTAGGGCTAGATTCATCACTTTTATGATTTGCTGAGGAATATTATATACTCAATTAATTGTGTATTTGCAAGCTAATAATAAACATTAACTCACAAGGCTGATATCTTCCTACGCCTCCCCCAACCACATGCAATAATCGCCCTCAAAAATAACCATTTCTCCTTCCTTGTTATTGAAAAGCATGGAGATACACTCCTTCCTTCTCAGCACGAGCCGTGAGAAGCTCTCCAGGCTCTTTCACACACCTATGTTGGAGCTGCAAAGGAAAAGGGAAGGTTCTGTCTGTCTGTAGCTTCTCCACCCACTGGTTGGTCTCAGATGGTCCAGGTTTTGTGCTCGGGACTGCAGGAGCATCTCTACTGCCAGCCTCCCAAAGCACATGTTTTACAAGTGCGCGATGAAGACCAAAAACCGGCCTGTTCTCAAACATTTTCGATTCAGTTCTTCCTTCAACAACACACAGAACAGCATCTCTAATCGCAAGTAGGAGGACGAGAAGAACCAAATCAATAGCAGCTTTTACCTGAGGTCTGAGTAATGCACGTTGCACCATGCGTCATCCTTTCCAAATTGTGCAGTCTATATTTGCACACCCTTGAGCTGGAGAGCGGCTGATACGGCACGCGCATGAGACACGCAAGCGGCTGCCTTATCTCCTACGTCAGGCTATTTATCGTGCCCCTCAAACCCAGCCGCACAAGGAGAAATCACCATAAAGCAGTGCTCTAAGCATCATTTGTCACTATGAATTCGAGAAAACTGCTCTGTTTTTTTTATAGAAGTCGCTTCATGAATTGAATGAAGATAAAAAAAAGTAAGAGAAGTTGATAAGAAAATCAAAAAGCCTACTTAAGCCACATCATATTCTTTTATAAGCAAAGATTATTTCTCCCTGTGTTCTGTTACAGCTTCATGGCATTTTTTCCCCCATAGGATGTCCATCTGAATGTAAGACATACTGTTTTCAAATTCACAGATAAAAGGCTGTAACTTTAACATAGGAAAATCATACTTATTTGGAATCTTCTGTTTTTCAGATAATATACCTTTGGGTCAAAAACATTCATCGCAAACACTACAGAAATCCTCATTTCAAGTCCAGACTTGTTTTTTTGAGATACTAAATGCTGTCCAGCCAACTGAATAGATCAAAGCCTTTTTCAAGCAAGTGCCCTGTAACATCCCAGCTCTGTTGAGAGGTCATCAATGCAAGAGAAACCAAACTGTACCCGAGCTAGCCTTGCATCCTGCAAGCTCGTGTCCTCACAGTGGTGTAATACACTAGACCATTGTTCTCCCAGGCCAATTAGTCCTGCTAAACTTTATAGGGAAGCAGGGATGATTAATGTAGGTGAGGATCACGCTCACATGGTTCTCCAGCTTTGGGACTTGAGGTACTAGGCTTTCTCTGCAGATACATTCTTGCTGTCAAAAGACCTGGCAGTCCCACAGCCCTGAAACTGCCACTCGCTCCTCTGGAGTTTCCCAAAGGAACTTTCAGGCAAAGAGCAGATAAATCTCAGCCTGGATGGGAGAGGAGCTGCAACCTCGACACTCTTTGGCGTGGACACCAGCCTGCTCTTCCACCGTGCTGCTCTGGCGAATGTCTACTCACTTTTCGTCCCAAATGTGGTCACCTCTGTGGAACACAACAAGGTTATTTTCAGGGTCCAGAGCCAACCCAGACACTTGGCCTAGCTTGAGGTCTAACCCAGGCCAGTCCACCACCTCTTCTATGTGGAAATCTATCAAAGAAAGAAAGAATACAACAAAATAAGGCATGTTCACTTATTTTATTTACATAAAAACAGAAAACTGGTTAACTGCCTTTTGGTGCAAAGGTTGTTGGGGGCCACACGAACATTTTCTTACATGCAGTACTTCTATCAATGCATTGCAGTTTAATTCCAGGCATTATTTTAATCACAGGAAAGCACATCTCATGCACAAGCACTGCCATCCCCATATGTACATGGTGACAGAAACTTTAAAACCGCTTTTGGCTCTGTTCTTTCCTCCACCTCACCAGCATACGGGTGCGCAGGTACTGGATGTCCTAGGAATGCTTTCTCTAGTGAAAGACTGCAAGAACATACAATTACCAGCCAAAATCAGCAGGCAAATTTATATACTTCTATGATTAACCTAAAACAATGTATACCAAACCATGGACCACCCAAGTCCCTAAATATCAGAAGGGTTTAATTCAGGACTAGACTAAAATAAATAAATAAATAAATAGGAGAGAGAGAAAAAAAACAACTTTTAACATGAAAAAGAAAAACTCAAGAAAGCAAGAAAAAACTTGTCAGCAATGAGAAATAGGTAAAATAGTAATCCTGTGAATTTTGTCTGTGACCTTTCCTACAGCAATCACATCCATTAGCTCTACCTAAGTTCATATCCTAAGCCAAATAATACTATGTCTATAAAAGGGAAAGAGATGTCTAAAGAAGAGATCAAGGATAGAACTTTTGCCATTCTTGTGCTTTAGCTCACTGTTTTTAAAAACAAATATTGAGTAGTTTTGCAGTAATATGTATCTGGTCTTTTACACTATGTACGAAAAGCACAGTGGTCACTTGCTAAATGCTATTAAAAGGGTGGGTACTTTTTGTGCACAGAGTCCTTAAATCTTAACGTGCCTTGATGCTCCTCAATCTTTGAGCCTTTACCAAAAGAAAATGGAGGGGGGAAAAAAAAGTGCTAAACATAGGAAGCCAAAATTCTGGCCTCTGTAAAATGGTGGTTTCCAGAAGGCACACATCACAAAATGCAAAATCTTTGTAGATGTATACTGAGAAGAACAGGAAACACACAAATGGAGCAAACAAAAATACTTTTCCCCATTAAAATTATTTACTATCATTTTCTTTCTTTCTTTAAATCACTCTTTTGTTGTTAATGAGATTTCTAAACCAAGAACTAGATCTTTAATCTTGCAATTTCAAGTAATTCATTTGATTCAATAAAACTACATAGACTTAGCACATGCAAATCTGCCTCTAATCTCTCTACAAGTGAAAAAATAAACCCTCTATTTACTGCTAAAAATACAATTTATTGTCCATAAATCTCAGCATGCTCTTTTTAGCTCTTGACTTTACAAACTTCATTCATGTTGTGTTTATCTGCTCCAGTCAGAATCATTTAAATCTTGACTAATGGAAGCAAGCACTGCACAAAGCAGTTTTAAAATTGGAAAAAAAAAAAAAAAAAAAAAAAAAAAAAACCACCACCAACAACAAAACCCACTATTTGCTGTAATTAAAAGGCATAATTTCAACAATTTAATCAATGCTGAACAACCTACCAACTGATTAGTGGCAAGTTGTAATAAAATAGCACTGCAGTAAAAGCAGGAATAGAAGATTATAAGCATACGATCATAATCCTTACTTAACATACTGGCTGCTTGTTATTTCAAGCTGTTACATGAGTTAAAAACTGCGATATTTAAAGGAACTAATAGTTTTTAGTTTAGTTCAGTTTAACAATAGATTCAATTCTGGCAATTTTTCGACAGTTAAATGAAATGAATGCCATACCCTAACAGGAACTAGGATCTGGTCTTCTGATATTCAGAAATCTTTTAAGATCTTGGTAAGAAGAACTGGCATCGAGCCTATGAATTTGATAAGCAAAGATTGTACATGCAGCCTTAGGATGTGGTGTGTGTGTGTGTGTGTGTATGTGTGTGTATCACACTTTAAATATATATATATATATCACTTTATATATATATATATATATAAACTATATATATATATATGGTTATATATATCTTTTAAACAAGACAAAACAACTCTATACTTCAATTCTTCTAGGAACAGAAGGCTCTGTCAGAGAAACAAAGTTCTGTTCTTCCAATATGGAAGCACTTCCCAAACCAGACACTAAACATGCACTAGAAGACTTGATTGCTATAGTAATTCTGTTGTCAAAAGATGGCACCGACAGCTTCTGCAATTATCCATTCCTGTAACATGAGCAACATTACAAAAATTAAAACCCAAAAATAAAGCTTCGGTGCTAAACACTTAAGACCATCTCAGTTTTGCTTTTTGACACAATACAAAAAGAAATACAAATAAAAATAAAAATAAACCTGCTAGTAGTAACGCTAAACTGTGCTTTTCTGCAGTCGGGACCGGTGCCATATTGCGTGCCAGTCAAACCATCTCTTCAGCTCACTGAATAGAACGGAAAGGCATGTTCCAACTCCCTCCCCCTCTCTCCTTATCCCATTTTTCCCGGCTGAACTCAGGGAATGGCCTTTGCAGAAGCGCATGCACACATTCACCTCCTAAGCACGTAAGTAATGCTAGCTGCTCCTGGAGTTACACTGATGATTTGCACTTACGTCAGGCACGGGACAACATTTCACTTGTTCCTTGCCTGCACGCCCATCGCTTGGCAGGCTCCCATTTAAAGCGAGGCCCATGGGAGAACACTGGGAAGTCCTCCTCTGTGGTCTCGTGCTAAACACAGCCCCTGCATTTCTGCTGTGTTTGAACGGAATGCCAGAGGCAAGCAGCGATACTCCAGGTTAATGCTTGGAAGCAGACAAAGGGAGGCAGGTGAGGAAGGGTGCACATGCAGCAGCACCGAGGGCAGCAGGTGCCGAGGCCACATTAGCGCGGGGGAGCCAGCGCGGGCGGCAGCACGCACAGCAAGAGGCACGGAAAGCACACACGGCTCCGCGCTGCCGCGGAACCTGAAGGGAACGGACCGTCAGCCCGGGGCAAGGAAAGGGCCCGCCTGGAAGAGCAGGCTAGCCAGGAGCAACGGAATAATAATGCTGAGGAATGGTTCAGTGTTTACCACACTTGCTAGATGACAGGAAAAGAGCTCTAGGATTAAGAATATAAATTTTATAAAATCTGTTATCTGACAAACCAAGTCATCAGACAACTACTTATAATATAAAGGTTATCTCAGTGAGCCATTTCATAGTAGTTAGTACTTAAGAAAATGCCTCCCTCTCTGTGACGACTCTATTCACCTGGGTTGAGCAAAATTGATATCAAATTGAGAGTCTTGAGAGTGGAAAAAAATCCTCCACATTCCAAAAAGCACCAGCATATTTCCATCTGTATACATTCTTTCTTCATAAAGAGGAAGAAAAAACTCCCACTAAAATGGCTCTAAAACAGAGGGAGACAGTTTTAATAACTAGGAAATTTGGTGGAAAACACTTTTGAATACCAATTGACATTCCCTTCAGATTTTGCTAATGTGGATCACAGCTCTCACATTGAATGTCATGATTCCAGCTCCTAACCCACCTCCCGTATGGTCTTTCTCCCAGCTCCCCTCACCACGTGTAGGCTGTTGTAAAGACAAATGTCTGTTCTCTGGTGGCCTCAGGGTGGATTCTAGTCTGTGGAATTTGTGAATTCTGTCTCTGACAAGAACAGCATTGTCCCTCTCCTCGTGATTTGTGACCTCTCTGGCGAGATCCTTCTTTTGGACTACATTAGCAATCTCGGCCACAAGATCCGAGTCTGCCTTTTCTGTAGGGTTATACTTATGCACATGAACAACATCTTCCCTTTCGCCTAGCAGCTTGGAAAGGAGTGAATAGAAATCACCTGCACAGAAAAGAGAAAAGATGAGGAGAGGAGAAAAGAGAACAGTTAGATTGCACAGTCTTCTATAATTTCTGCAAAGTCTAATGTGACAAACGTTATTCAAACAGTCATAGGCAGATGCAGAATGAGAGGACTGCTCCACAAACCTTCATCACCTTAGATTTACATGTAAATGCCCACTCTTACTAGACATTTTGCCATCTAAAAGATCACAGCCCAGCAGAGATATTCTTGCGGGGTGAGGAAGAAGGGGGATGCAAACACCCCTCAAGTGGATACTTCCTGAAAGCAATATTCATAGTGAGATTAATCTGAATTAGCAGACTACTGCAGACTTTTATATATATGCATACACAACAAAGAGATAAAAACTCTATAGTTTCATCAACTTATTCATTTACAAGCAGCAACCATACATTTGAACGTAAATTTCTTTGAAATTTGTCATTTGTCACACAAAAGGTTTGAGCTGTAAGAAAAAACCTCACACTTGCAAATGAGACTGCATACAACAGGCTGCAGAAGGAGGACTGTTAAAGGCCACAGCAGTCTATTACATTCGTAGTTCATGAAACTGTTGCAGAACCACCCCCTTTCCCTAAAGAAATTACTAATAGCCCTCAGTCATGGCATCAGGTGGGAACAAAGGGAACAATATTTTCAGTGTCCCTCAACCCGCTCAAAATTAAATCATGCAAAATCCACAAGTCTCACTTGGCAAAAACAGTCAAATTGTCTGAACTGGTTTTCATCAAAACAGCTTTCCTTTAATCCTAGAGAAGGGATTTAAGTGATAACAAGTATATTTTCTACTAACTAGCAGATATCCAACCTGTTTGAATTGATTAGCCAGCTAATCAAAGCAATCTTTGCTGCGTTAAATTACACAAGGGCTTTTAGAACCAACTGCAGCTACACCATCTGAATGGAAAGAGATGTTCAACATGCACTTGGATCTCACTTATCTATACTTCTATTTGACTTAAATACAAATTACTCATAATCAAGAATTTGTGTGAGTGCACTGTATTGTGAAGAGGAGGAGAAGAACAAAACTAAAACTGTAAGCTTTCACAAAGCAGGACAGAGCAAAGCCTGCACTAGCAGCTCAGAACAGAGGCAATTACATCTTCTGAAAATGACCTAAAGAGACTCTGTCATGTTTATAAACAGTCCTAATTTAATGATTTTTGACTAGACTTCCACTACTTGCCCTTGAGAAATAAAAACTCCCAGGTGGAAACTTCTGACAGAAAATAATTACAGAAGTAATAGGGCCAATTTCAATGAAATGAACAAAGAAAATTAGATCAGAGGAAAAAATTGTTAATCTGGCATGCTCCATAATCATCCTACTGCCACTCAACTAGTCCAGCTGCTGATTCAGAACAAACCCTGACATTCAAAAAGGAGGCTACAACAGCATTTTGCAATGCAAACCATATTTACTCTGAGAAAGGTTTAGAATTACTTGAATTAGCTCCTCTAGACTCTGCTCAAAGCAGCCAGGAATTGGCACTGATGTTGGAATCCTGGAATTTCCTTTACCTAGAGAACCACAACGAGGGGCCACATGCTCTAGGTGACCCTGCGTGAGCAGGGGGGTCGGACTAGATGACCTCTGAGGTCCCTTCCAACCTTAAGCATTCTATGACTCTATGATTACAGTGGTCTTCATGGGCCTTACCTGTATTTTCGACCCACGCATTTGCCCAACAGTTCCTTTCGCTCGTGCAAACAGGAAGCTGAAGCCCTCTGCCAATTCTTGTCATGACAGCACTGCTCACAGTGGCGGCAAAGCAGAAAGGATGGGTGTAGAACTGCAAAGGGGAAATAGTTGCCTCGAAAACTTCTGCTACCTGAATGTAGCCAACTATTTCCCAAATTCTACACACCTAAATGGAGGCTCATATTATTTGCGACTAGCTTCTTTAAACTTCCTTTCTGATCTTCAGCTGGATACCAATACAATTATGAGCAATATCTTAGAGGTATTTCCAAGTGCATGACTGATAATTGACAAGCAGCAGACTTGGGCTGTCTCTGACCAACAGTTACTATCTGCAGACAGTGCAGTATCCAGCAGCCACCAAAGCCCGATGCAGCATTGCCACCATACAGGTGTCTCGTGCTGGCTGGACCTGCTGGTGCTTGCTCTCTGGTAAGGTGAGGAAACCCACGGGGAAAGAAGCACAGAGGCAATGGGTCTGGCGTTACTCGTTTGGTGCTGCCCGGGTCGAGACAGCCCGATCTTTCCACAACCTGGGTGGGACTGGAGAAGAAACACAGAGGGGTTGAACTCCTTACTCTTGCTGTGATAATTAGAATTCCAGCACGTATCATTTATTTTCTTCCAATCAGCCTCTGGAACATAACAGGAAAGCTGACCGACTCGGGTGCTGTTAGAGAGAACTTCTCTAAATACATGAATTCCTTACGCTGTGTGCAAGTTGCCAGGAAATTCCTCTCTGGAATACAGCCTAGAGTGACAGCTACCAACAGCTAGTGTTTATTCTCTATTGGGGATAATGCAATAGCTGTCAAGACCATCATCTCCAGAATGGGACAACAAAAAAACATATTCCAGAAAATACATATTTGTATTATTTAATGTTATGTTCTACATACTAGGATTTTTTTTTTTTTTTGCAGAACAGCATTTTAAATAATCATAACATCAGTAATTTCATCACAAACTGATGTGCACCTGTGTGAGCTGCACCTCAATGTGATACAAGTTAGTTACTCAGTTCAGTTAATGACAGTACAACAGCTCTGTAACTTGACCACTGAGGTCTGGCTAGGAGCCACGTGGTGTTGAACTATCCACATGTGGAAACAGTCCACATTCTTCAGCTCTCTAATGTGGTTTTCCCTGTCTTGAGGCAACAGCCCCTGTCCATGGTTCTCATGCAGTCAACATTATGTTACTGGAAGTGTCTGTTCCTGACCTGGGTGAAGTTTCTGGCCGTGGTGCTGCAAGATCAAGCTGGGAGAGAGGGGAGAAGTTCAGTCAAGGACAGCCTGGCAGAGGCTGCCAGGCTGAGGTCACAAAACTGGTAGGTTTGTCTGTTCTCAGGAAGGACAGCGTGCTGAAAAATAAGCCAACACCGAGCCCCCATAAAATTTGAACAACCTCCACTGTGAGCTCTCTATGATGAAAAACATATCTGACACTCAGTATCATCATTAACATGATTAATATCCTTTAGGTAGAAAGAGTATTGTCCTGTGACACATCAACACAAAGACTTTGTGCTTGGCCATTAACTGTTCCTCAGCAAAGCTGCGAGTACCGTGGTAGGGCAAAACATCATCAGAGTTATCCTTTCCAGCACCCTCAGCTATTACAAACGTAACTCAGTTTCTAGAACAGGAACACAAAACAGGCAGTCCAGACATGACATGCATATCTCCCTGTCCCTTATATACCAGGTATGAAAGCACAGCTGTCAATATACAGATGTGAAAATTAATTTTGCTGCATTTAAGAAAAAAAAAAAAGAAAGAAAAAGACATGAACACCCCCATTGGTCCAATAATACTCATCTCCAGCATTCTTAAGCAGAATATGAATTTGTGTGTTGCGAATCACCTCTTTTGAGCATGTCTGATGCCACATGGAGCCAGTGTGTTGTTCCCTCCAAGCCCTATTGTCTCTGCTGTCACGGGAGCAGTAAGCCTTTCCAGGTGGGCTGAAAGCAGGTGCAAAGGGGCCAAGAGCTACAAGCTGGGCTCACCTAAAAATCTCAGGTAACATGCATAAAATATGTTAAGAATCACATGGGAAAATCTGTCCTCCTGCTGAAGGACACCTTCCTGACAAACAAATGGAAACCTGGCTGCAAATACTATCTTGAATATTGTAACCTTGCATCTAAACCCCTTGCCCACCTATCTGTCAAAACCAGAATTTTCACTTACGGTGTTTGTTAAAGAATGACTTTCTAGGGCTCTTTGATGAAGCTAAAAAGGTGATCCCAACAGGCATATACAAGACAGCACTGCTGTCAGGAGAGAGCGGCAGAAATAACATAGAAAGCCATAATAAAAGTGAATAAACTCTACTATCTATTTCCTGGAAAGAACATTGTCCAATTTTCACATAATAGGCCAAAAGAACTTTGAAAATGGTGTCTCCCAACTCAACACTTGACACTCAAATCTGGTCAAGCTGGTTGCAATCCAGGCTGTGGTGAAAACCCAGTGCTTTCTGAAATTAAGAACTGCTTCAGCATAGCAACTTAAGTTTCTACTGGTTCTCCCAAGGATGAGATTTTTTTAAAAGATGAATCTCTGTTGTCTTGTCAGTAGAGGTGTTTTTGCTATGTAGTTTCCCTGCTACCTCCATAGACTTCTCCTGTACTATTTCAGACGGTGTCCTAGTGCTTATTCAATCACTGAAAAACTCTTAATATTTTAATACTGTATCTCTAACATTTAATTTAAGAGTTAGCATTCCATCTCTCCATAGCTAGGTACAACACGAACTGTTAACAAATTCTTGACTCCTAAGAACTACAGAGAAGTTTGCAAATTACTCAGCCGCCCTCTCCTTTCCCTGCCTCTCCTTCCTCACCAGTAACACCACCACCACCAATCATTTTTGTTACAATGCAAAGTATTTATCAGCCACTTGAAATGATTAGCTGTAAACACATTGATCTTACTCTATGGGACTGCTGTCCTCATTCAGCTAGATTACACACATTTGCAGTTCAGGCACACCCTATGACTACTTCACCTTCAATTTTTATTTCATGCAGTACAAATACGCCCGCAAATACATTTCCTCAGACAGAGCAGCACATCTGAGGCTATGTTTATTAAAGAGTCATTCTGCTATCTCCAGTTTGGTTCTTTTATAGATCTAGCACCATCACGTCTAAAAAGGGCATTTGAATTGGAAAAAAAAGTCCAGAATAAAATAAAAGTGACCCTTGTTGGGGCGTTTCATACTTGTACTATGAATTATTCACTGTAATGTCCATCAAAGCCAC